TATTCACTAGCCCACCTAACTACTCCTTTCTTCATAGGTTTAGTTGTACTTTGTTGTGTGTTGCCACCAACTAAGCGATACAAATTGTCTCCTAAGATAGTAAAATATTGATTTCTTACTATCTTGATCATAAAATAAGATATAAATGTCATAAACCAATGTCCAAAGACTCAAGATATCCAAACATGTTGTATTTTCTGAACATAATTGCTTTTATAAAAATATAATTGAAAGTTCACCATCTACTCTCTCCTTTCTGATCTCCTTTTCTAATATTATTCCAAACCCTTTTGTCCCTGTATCGGACGATTAGGACGACGATCAATTAATTCATGACAAAAGTCCTAATCATACACCTTTATCTATTGATCATATGCAAATCCGTGTTGTCAACACAACAATCGTGTCTCTATTCCACCTACATGGTTTGACGATTATGAAATCTTCTTATGTCAGCACCGCGCATTTCTTACTTTAATTCATTTTGAACTTTATACTTACAAAGAAGTCGCAAGTCAACTTGTGTGGGAACATGTAATGACAAAGGAGTTGAATGCTCTAGATCATCAAATGCATGCTTGGGGTCTTATATCTCTTCCAAAATGAAGGAAGCTACAGGTCACCTGTGAGTATATAAAATCAAAAGAAAAGAAGATGGTAGCATTGAACGATATAAAGTTTTTCTTATGGCAAAAGAATATAACTAGCAATATAAAATTGAGTTTGCTGAAACATTCATACCAAAAGCACATATAACCAATGTTTGTATACTTATTTATGTTGCATCTATCTGATAATGGCCTTTGTACCAACTAGGTGTTAAAAATACATTTCTCAATAGAAACCTTGATGAGAAGTATAAATAAATTTATTCTCTGGAGTTACAAATCTGTAAAATAGGGGCAGACTTCGGTGAGGTCTGTGTGTACTAAAAAAAGCACCTCATCATAGTTTCAAATGTTTTATAGTACAATCATATTGGCATGATTTCAATAGAGCTATCATAATCCAACAATATTTGTGTCTGATACTTCGATTGGGCTTGCATTTTTCTTATTCTATATAGATGATATGATAATATTTGGTAACAATATGTGCACCATTCATAAGATTAAATAAAAACTCAATTAAATATTTGAAATGAAATACTTGGGGTCTTGCATTATTTTCTTGGATTAGAAGTTGTTTGTATATTACTTTTTAATGATCATGTCAGCCACACTATAATTCTAGCATCAGTAATTACCCGCTCTTTTAGCTTTTTGAGATCATCAAGTTTCTTTTCAATTCCATCTATATAGCCCACGAGTTTTTTCCATGTTATTCTCATAAAAGAAACCCCAAAAGTGGGATTTACCCCATCAAATTTAATAAGAAATAGCTAAAAGGAGTCTAATTTTTCCAGAATAACTAAAGGGACTAAAACAAGCTTTGATTGAACAATAAGCACTTAGGCGATTTTTTTTTTTTTTTTAAGAAGAGAGAACGGAAGGAAGAAAATTGTGTTTTTTTTTAAAGCTAAACAAGTGGATGAAATGAGTGGCAAATCTTGTTGTAAACTAGCTTCTATAATAAATCAAATTCTGAGAATGGGTTCCATTCAATAATCCTTTTTTTTTTTTTTAATGTAATCAAAATATGGGTTCCTTTTCTATGGAAGTAGGACAAATGTGATTCGGTTGGTACTTGATTGGTAACCAGAGAGAGATAGATACAAATTTCTAAAACTAGAGAGAGATAGACACAAGTTTCGAAAATCAAAAGAATGCAAATGAGTGAGAAAATGGAGACGTAGTAAAAATGACTAGGATATGGAAATTAGAGAGAAATAAATACGGGACCTGGTTTTTGCACCCGATTTTTGCAAGCTAGATATGAAATATCCATGGGAGATTTTCTTGTTAGAAAAATGCCTTCACTAGAAAAATAGAGTAAGACCGAATAGATTATGTAACATTGCATACACAGCCCAAATTTTATAGGGTTACAAATACATGTATTGACTGTATAGGATCTTTTAGAGAAACATATATAGGATGGATCACCTTCCAAATATGTATATGTAGAAAAAGAAGGAAAATATTGTATAGAATAATATATATAGGTTACCACATATATATATAATATTACAATAGTAATAATTCTTTACTTTTATTTTACAAAAACATTACACTACAATGTTATAGAGTATGTAACCTCATTTTAATGCATGTACAAATTATAACAAAAATATTCACCAATTTACAATTTACTCACTCCTAATTCCTTCACCTATTCACAATTTACCGACACCTCATCCCCTTTGTAGATTTTAGTTCTCCCTATCCAATCTCTTGCTTTTTAGACTTCTTAAACAACAACAAGTTCTTGCACTGGTACACCACCTCTAGCCAATTCATCTTCAAGTGCATTCTTTTATCTATATACATGCTTAAAATTGAAATCCTTATTAGCACATCTGTCCATAATTTCTTCACATAACATCCTAAGAGTCCATGGTACCTCCATTCCTCTAAATCCATTTAATAACATTCACCAAGTCCCCTTGTACCATCAACTTAGCATCAAACTGTTATGTCAATGCAAGTCCCCTTGTACCATCAACTTAGCATCAAACTGTTATGTCAATGCAAGTCCTTGCAATAAGGACTACATCGAAGCTCCATTTGCAATCACTATACCCACATGTCCAAAATATTTCTTTAAAAGTCATACTATTATGATCCCTACCAATCCCAGCTCTTCCTGGTTTATAAAAAAGAGCTCCCATAAAAATTTAATTTGATACACATTTTTGGGAGAGGCTCCCATATATTAGACCTCTTAATCACCATATAAATGGTCTTAATCAATTCCCCCATTTATCCATATTATCCATTCTTGCCATCACCAAAAATCCTTTATAACATAGGCCTGTTAAGCAATAACACTTCTTATTTTATATAGTTCTCTATCACTCCTGTAGGGCTGACAATGGGCTGGTTGGCCTTGCCCCGCTGGGCCCTAATAAACAAAGGCTTGGCCCACAAAATGTGGCCAGAGGACCGGACCACCATGGCCCAAGGAAAGGGTCGGACCTGGCCAAGTCGATGGTAGGGCCGGTGTGGTTCGGCTTGGCGCATCCCTTTATTCTTATTGTTCTTTTTCTTTTTTTACTTTTATTATATTAGGCCCTAGCCCCTCTTTGGCCCTGTTAGGTCTAGGCCAGGGTAGGGCTAACCTTCAAGGGACTAAAGACAGCTAGGGCCAAGGCCGACTCAGTCCCGGACTGGCCCATTGCCATCCCTACACTCCCGATACTTCCCATTCAAGGCATCACCATTCCTCTCCTTCCACGCTTCTCACACAAACGCACCTTTTCATTATTTTCCATAAAATCCTAGCTTCACCTTTAACCCCTGCTAATTCCCAATTGGGTGAAAATTGCACTGGATAAATTCACACTTATTCCCAACTCCAACAACACCACTCCCATATCTTTCTTGTATACTTATACAACAAAAATAAATGATGACCATCTTCCCAAACCGGCATGCATAGTATGAATATATTAGTTTTAATTTTTTCCCTTTTTTTGAGCATATCAACCACTAGCAATTTACTTCAACATATATAAAGCACCTAACTTTCTTAGGTAAAGTCCTTAATCTAGCCCAATTAGATTCTCTCCATCTTCTCCTATAATTGAATACCATCATACACACAGAAGTTATAGAGAAACTTTCCATTAAACTTGTCTCCCAAATCACTTTGTCCTTGTTCCTTGAACAGTAGTAACACTTCTTTAGGAGTTCCATGCATAATGGAAATTGTTCAATCACTTCTTCACTTTGTTTGACAATAAATCCCTTTCCAAACTTGTGTAATACTCATCATATTTAGCCCCATAGCCACCAAATTATGATCTATATCTAATCCATATCTCTTAACCAACACCCTTTCCCATGACTAATCCTCTTCTTCAGTTTCGCAACTGCACCACCATTTTGTGAGGAGCATACCATCTTTCAGGGGTGTACACACTTTGTGTCATGCCACTAAACTGAATTTCTTGCTCTCATCAATCTCCTCACGCAGAAATTTTTGCATCAGCCTCTTGAGCATCTTTGCAATATCTTTGGGCGGGTATATAATATACGGGTAGGTTGGACAGAGTAGACTTGACGTGTGCCATCCTCCCCTTGTAGATAGGACTTTGGACTACCAAAGGTCCAATTTGTATTGTACTATTTGAACCACATGTTCCTATATCGACCTAGGGACGCTTGGTTCTTTTTAGAGGTAAACCCAAGTATTTTACTCAGAATTTTCGAACACTTCTGCAAACCTTTTCACATCCTCCTCTTTACATGTCCGGAGCACCCTTCTCTTATCTTCTCTATCTAAACTCGAGAATGTTTGGCTTATGAGAAATTTAAGAGATTTTTTTTTTTTGATGACTCAATGAGGAATATCCCCTTACCTTGGAACAGGAATTTAAGAGATTTTTATTTTTTTGTTGGCCAACTCATGATTTTTTTATGGGAAAGTAATGGGAAAATAGTATCCCAGAAAGCTGAAGTGATCGACTCTTTGTAAAAATCAATGAAATTAAAAAGAAAAATGGCTTAACACCTAACAAGGTATCATCATCATCACAACCTTTCTCAATTAAATGACATCGGCTTGTACGAATCCTTATCGATTGTTCTGTTTTATTAAAAGCCATACTAATTTTAGTGAGACTATAAATCCCCAAAGCTTTTTAAAATACGTTTTTTTTTTTGAGACCAGATACACCCTATATATCTGAAATCTCTTTTCTCAATTGAAGTTTCAATTGAAACCGACCTCCTCTGTCGTGGTTCTCTCTACAAGTGCGTTACTTTATTTCACAAATTTCATTGTCCTTGACCGTCAAATTAACTGTTTACGCCTTGGGCCACCACTACATACACACCAAAATTTTACACCTACTCAACGACATCACCAGCCACGCCTCTCTCTCTCTAAACTCGGAGCAAATCTCTTTGTTCCCACATTAAACAGTATAAAATATCGGGCGTCCCTTTTTGCTTGTTAATGTCGTTAGTCTTACTCTAATGGAGCAAAATAGTTTTTTTTGCTCCCGCGGGAGCTTCGATAAGTGCCCGTCGCTCCTATCATTTTCTTTCTCCTTGACGGCGCCCTTTGACAGTTTGACGCATCCCTGGCTCTCTCTCTCGCTCCTCTTAAACCGTAAGAGCACCCCTCTCTCTCTCTCTAAAATGTTTGCCCTCACGACGCTCTTCGACGTGTTTATCGGTCTTCTCTCTCTTAGAATTTCTCTCCATGACGGCTCTTTGGCGCTACCCGGCGTTTCCGTTACCGTCACCTAACGGAGCGCCGATGGTGGGAGCCTCAACCGGTGCAGGCCTCGACTGGGTGGGATAGAGAGATAGAGAGTGTTGCATCAACCGTTAACATGAACAGAAACCGTCTGTCTTTCTCTCTCTTCGTGTTTTTCTCTCTAGCCTGCTATTTGACGGGAGCAATGGGAAGGGCGGCTTCGGCTTATAGGCAATGCAATAGCTTCTTCTGTGAAAACCCCTTATTACGAGAGGTAAAGTGAAGATCTGCTCATTATTGTGCTTTTCCTTTTTGGGTTTGACTCTGGGTGTTGATTTATGGGTCCTTTTGCTTGATACATCAGGGTTTAGTTACTCTGGTTTGCCAAAGTCGACTTGCGATTGTTAATTGGATGAAATGATGCAATGAATCTTGTTGTTCTAGTTTTTGAGCTTGTAGGATCTCTTGGCCCGTTGGGTTTCTATTTTTTGTGATTAGGGCTTCTTGGATCTGGTTGTAGCTTAAAAACAGTTGTGGAGAGAGACAGGTTAGGCCTTTTTTCATTCTCAATTTCTTTCTTCTGTTTTTTGAGATGGATCCCTGGCGGGCTTATGGGTTGAAGTGATTTTAGGGACTTTGTTAATTGTTTCCTCTGTTCTTAGCCTTTTTTTCTGCTGTTATGAGCTCCATATCTGTGTTTTAGGGTTTCTAAAACCTGTTGTAATGGAGATAAGCACTTAAGGTTTTCGCATCAATTCTTCCATGTTTGGCTATCTCCCTCTTCCTTCATGATTGTTGTCAAGTGTAGGGATTCTCGTATTTTGGGATTTTCTTCGAGGGGCTCAGGGGATTTCAAGGTTTTCTATTCATCCCTCGGCTTTAGAGTTTCTAAAACCAATTCAGATGGCCGAGAAACCAATACAGCTTCAGATTGAGCCAATCTCCCCCTTTGTTTTCTGGTCTTTCATTGATTAAGCTTTTGAAGAGGTGGTTCTTCTGGGGTTTCTTTTTCATGGAGGGCTTTCGGGAAGAGATGATGTACCAGTGTTTTTTGAGATGTTTCTTTTGACTGTGGTGAAAATTCACATACCCACCAGCGAGGTGCAAGGAAGAAGACGAAGAGGAAGGATAAGAATGACCGAAGCTTTGATCACTGCGTTATCCATGGAGAATCACCACCCCTCCACCCTTCTATCCATGGATTCAAGTTCTCATGAAGACTGTGAAAGAGAACCCAATCGCCAAATTATTCTTTCACGACCACCTGATATCAATCTCCCTTTATCTTCAGAGCGAAGCCCACCTCCTCCATGGCCAAATGATGCTTGTGATATACTAGATGTTGGCTTGGGCCCCCAATTATATGAAACTGAAACCCTTTTGAACATACCTAAGGTTGGAAGGAAGTGTGCTAAGAGAGGAGATAGCATTTGGGGTGCATGGTTCTTCTTCAATTTCTATTTCAAGCCTGTTCTTGTTGAGAAATCGAAGGGAAAGCTCACTAGAGATGGCACTGTCCCCTCTGGTTTCGATAAATCGGACCTGAGGCTCGATGTATTCATGGTGCAGCATGATATGGAGAATATGTACATGTGGGTTTTCAAGGAGAGGCCTGAAAATGCATTAGGTAAAATGCAATTGAGGAGTTATATGAATGGGCACTCGCGTTTGGGGGAGCCCCAATTCCCATTTAGTGCTGAAAAGGGCTTTGTTCGATCACACAGGATGCAGAGGAAACAGTATAGGGGGCTCTCAAATCCCCAATGTGTGCATGGGATAGAGGTTGTAAGGTCCCCTAATTTAACCCATTTATCAGAGAGTGAGCTCAAGAGGTGGATGGATTTAACGGGTCGCGACCTCAATTTCACAATCCCACCTGAAGCTGGGGATTTTGGGTCTTGGAGGAACCTACCAAGCACCGAATTTGAGCTCGATAGGCTCCCACCTAAGGCCCCAAGCCAGCCATCTCGGCGATTGCTTAATGGCTCTGGCTTAAACCTTTCATCTCAGTCTTCTAACCATGTGATTGCTGATGGTATAGAACTCTCTCCCATCTGCAACAAGAGAAGGAAAGAGTTCTTCCCCCATGGAAACGATGATGAGTGTTGCTTGCCTTTGGGGTCTTTCTCCGATAGAATTCAGGATTTGGACATGCACCAGGTAGAACCAGCTTGGGTGAATGATTTCTCTGGCGTGATGAGGCAGGCCTGTGGGCCTGTTACCGCTGCCAAAACAATATATGAGGATGAGCAGGGTTACTTGATAGTAATAAGCATGCCTTTTACTGATCTAAAGCGGGTGAAGGTATCTTGGAGAAACACTCTTACTCATGGTGTAGTAAAGATTCAATGTGTGAGCACTGTTCAAATGCCTTATTTAAAGAGGCACGATAGGACTTTTAAGCTCACTGATCCATCTCCTGAGCACTGCCCTCCTGGTGAGTTTGTTCGGGAAATAGCATTGGCCACAAGGATACCTGACAATGCCAATCTCGAAGCATATTATGATAATTCGGGTGCTGGTCTGGAGATTATGGTTCCCAAACACCAGGCTTCATCAGAGAGGGAGCATGAAGTTCGAGTTTGTCTTCGTCCTCAGATGGGTGCGAGTGAGCTGCTTTTGACTTGAAGCAGCTCTTGCTGGGCTTTGGGGCTTAGGAGAAAAATGTATGGGTGGTTGCAATGGTCAGTTATCCATTATTTGCTGATTTTGTACTATAATGATATCTATGAAATGGGAAGAGCAGCCTTGCCATGCCAGTGTTTCACTTTGCAACTTCTTTTTGCTTGTTATGTTCTTCTTTGCGACAATTGTTATAAATTGCTGATAAGTGGTATTGTGTTTTTCTAAATTGGTGGTCTTTTCCTAAATTAGTGTTCTTTCACATAGGTGGACATCTGGAATTATATATATGTTAATGTTTTTTTGTGGGTCGTAATGATTGTATGAGGCGCCCACTCCAACTCAAACAGTAATAGGACCCAGGTCTTCCCCATTGGTTGCCCACCACCAACAAATATCGTTCACAGGGTCTCTTAAGGTCATTCCTCCATGCGTTTTGCTTGGTTGGGGGGGGCTGGTGTGTAGGCGGGTGAATGTGCGTGTGCACGTATCATTAAATGATTGCAAAGTGAAGTATATCTCATTGTCAACTTTCCTTTTATGCCTTTTTTTTTTTCTTTTATTTATTTTTTTATTGGTAACACATGAACATGACTGCACTCATGATGTTAATATTTGCTTGATTTAAATTTTTTCTTGATTTCATTTAAGAAATGCTTTAATTTACCATCTTTAACATTGTAGGTTTTTAGTCTAGAAAGTCTTTATTGCATTGAAGTTTCTCTTGCTGTGGGTTGTAAGGAAGGTCACTATGATTTGATTGTGACACCAGCTCACAAGCTTGGTGCGTGATAGAGATATTGACTTTTCAAGCTATAGCTGGATTACATTTTTCTTGGCTTTCTGAATTCCTTCACTAATGGTGGAACTTAGAAAATTTCTGTGCTTTCTATTCTTTATCTGGAGCATCTTGTTTTTATGAGTTATTTAAATTTTCAGTTCAAGACCTGTTATGTGCTGGAGGGTCTCTTGGTAATTTTTTGAAAGATGGAAACTGGGTTCACATTCAATAATCCTGATCACATTCATTAAGGTGGACATAGTAATTGCTGCTTTATGATTTGATTGTTTGCAATATGTCACGTGGGCACATTTATGTATCAATCATCTTATAAAATGGGTACTTTTTTGGGCAAACCCCTCAGTTTAGCATTAGCCCTTCGTACTTCTTTCTGCACATCCAGTTAACAGTAGTGTGCAAGGTCAAAATGAAGCTTGAAGAGGCTTCATACTTCTTTTTGTTAACAGCTCTATACGAGGACTAGGTGAAGTTTGAAGCATGTATACATATCAAGGAATCTCTCTCTCTTCCTGATTGAAAGGGTTAAAAAATCTTGGAATTTATTTTAGGGATTGCTGGTGGCTGGTATCACTAAATCGCAAGACGGAATTGAAGTGGCTGGTATATGAGATTGCATATGGTACATATGGTACATATGAGATTATGAGATTGCTGGTGGCTGGTATAACGAGCAAACGTGAGATTTTGTAGAGGCTGTTCGTGGCAAAATGGTGTGACAAAGTTTGTTACTTGTTGGCCCTGCTAGAACTTGGAAGCTGGTTGCCAGATTCTTCTCCAAGGGTTGGTCCTATTCCCTGTAATGGAAATTCCTTGTTGATTCTTAAGTAATTTCTACTCATATCATGCTACCTATTATTTCATCCAGATGCTCCATCTCCCTTTAACCTGGGCGTCTGAATGCAGACACAGTGTTACTTTACTTAATAATGTTGTTGGCTAAACCTTGTTGATTCTTAAAGTAATTTCTAGTCATATTATGCTACCCTATATTTCACTCCAGATGCTCCACCTCTCTTTAACCTGTGAATTAGGCTTCCACGTGCAGACATAGTTTTACCTTTACTTGATAATATTGTTGCTTCGTTGGTTAATATGGTCAAGAAGTTTAAAATGTGCATGAATGCATGGAATGTAGTTTAGATTCATCTGAATTTTCTTTAAGCCATGTTAGTGGATACCTAGAAATTTTGGACCATTTCCATATATATATTGCCCCTTTTGAATGAGATTATTTTGTTCTTACAACGTTAGCTTCTTTCATGGTATCAACACCAGTTATTCTCCCAGTCCCAAGAATTGCTATAGAAGTGATATTTTCATGCTGTATACGTTTACCCTCATGTTGATGATTTTGACAGAATGAGTTTCATGTGAAGCCTTTGCCATCTTGCTCATGGTTATTAAAGTTCTCAAGTTCTTAGATGTCACCTCTTGTGTTATCTCATTGTTATGCTGATGCATATTGAAAATTAAATCATGATGCACGTAATTGCTAGAGGCAGCCTCAACTGTGGCCTTCTAGGCTGCTGATTGGCTGGGGTTCAAACTTAATAAGGAACTAGTTGGTCTATCTTTTGGATTTTTTTTTTTTTTAATGTATACCTCTGTGTACCATTATGGGGTGGTGTTCCTCTTCTTTATATTCTCAAGAATTGACTGATATTGCGTGAGTAAAGTTTTTTCTGTAGAGATTTGAGATGTATGTAAGTATGGATTTTAGCTAAACAGATAGTCTAAATGAGGTCTTCGAGGAGATTTAATCATAATGGGGCCTTGGCGAAATACTCGGGCTTTAAGGTCCTCCATGGTTGCACTATGGGAGATTCGTGGGATGTCTTTGCGTTAGAGTTGTTAGTGCAATTGGGTGCCACCTAGAGACAGAGTCGTGGATACCCTATCACTTAGGCTCAGGCAGCATGCCTGTTCCACCTAACTCTTGGTGTTTGCGCAGACTTCGTAGACGGCTGCATGGATACCTAGATGCCTTTCAAATGATATTTATTTGTTTTAATTACCTGTACACCATTTGCTATAGTACAAAACGATTATGTTATAAAACTTTGACAATCGAATAGAAATAATCAAAACTTAGAAGAACATAAAAATGCCAGAAAATGTTAAGAAAATAGTAAGGCTATGTTTAAGGCATATGATGATCTATACAACAAGTTGGGGACAAGAGAAGGTGAAAAAGATATCCTCAAACTAGCAAAAATGAGAGAGAGGATATATACGGATCTGGATCATGTTACATGCATTAGGAGTGAAGATCAGAAGGTCCATGTGAAGGATGTCGAGTTCAATGAAAGGTGGAGAATTTATTTCCAAAAATTGTTAAATGATGAATATTATGTGAACATAGCGTTTGGAGGAACCTTTGACATAAATGAGATTGAAGGTCATAGATATATTCGTAGGATTAGAATACCTGAAGTGAAAGAAGTTTTGAGAAAGATGAAGATAGAAAAGGCTTTAGGACCAGATGATATCCAATAGAGGTTTGGAAGTGCATGAGGGAGATTGGCATATTCTAATTGACCAAGCTGTTCAACAAGATTGAGAACAAATAGAATGGTAGATGAATGGTGGAAATGTGTTGTCGTACTTATTTACAAGAACAAATGAGACATACAAAATTGTACGAATTATTGAGGGATCAAATTTATGAGCCACACTATGAGGCTGTGGGAGAGAATGACAAAGCAGTGACTAAGACATGTAACGAGTGTATTAGAAAATTAGTTTGGTCTTATGCCAGGGAGGTCATTAATTGAGGTTATTTTTCTACTTAGACAAGTTTAGGGAGAAGAGAGAAGACCTCCACATGGTCTTTATAGATTTAGAGAAAGTATACGATGAGACCCAGAGAGTTAACTTTGTGGGTGTTGAGAAAGAAAGGAGTCTCTATTGGATATTCGACATGGTGAAAATATGTACGAGGGAGCACTAACTAGTGTGTGAATAACTAGTGGAGAGACAAGCTAGTTTTTAGTGACGGTAGGCCTACATCGAGAGTCAGTATTGAGCCCATACCTCCTTGTTTGGTTGTAGATGATTCAACTGAGCATCTACAGTACAAGGTACCTTAATGTATGTTGTTCGCAGATGACATAGGTTTGATTGATGAGATTGGAGACCTCGTCAATGCAAAGCTAGAACCTTCAAGGGTTGCTTTGGAATCTAAATGTTTTAAATTAGCCGGACAAAGAATATACAGAATGTAAGTTTACTAGGTTAGTGATAATAGGCGTAAAAAGGAGATAATAGTCAAGATTGATGGTGAATGAGGACCTAGAGGATATTATTTTTGATATATAGGGTCGATATTCTATAAGAATGTAGAGATTGAGGACGATGTTGCATATAGAATTAGAGTTGGGTGGGCGAAGTGGGGATGTGCTTCTTTAGTTTTATATGATCACCGCATACCAATACAACCGTAGGGAAAAGTTTTATAGGACGGCTTTAAAACCAAACATGCTTTACGGGACGGAATGTTGGATGGTCAAGAAACACCGTATCCATAAATGAGTGTAGCTGAGGTTAGAATGTTGAGATGGATGAATGGTGCGACAATAAATGATAGAATTTGGAATGAATATGTCCAAGAGAACTTAGAGGTGGCTCCAATAGGCGATAAAATGAGGAAAAGTAGACTTGGGTGGGCTGACTATGTGTAGTGTCGACCTAGAACAACACCAGTCAGGGGGGGTGATTTAGTTCAAGTGGACGGCTCTAAAAAGTGCAAGGGAAGGCCCAAAAAGATAGAGGTAGTGAGAAGAGGAATGGTAACTTATGGTCTGATTGGGAATGAGTGTCGCTGAGGTTAAGATGTTGAGATGGATGAATGGCGCGACAAGAAAGGATAGAATTTGGAATGAATACATCCGAGGGTGCTTATGGGTGGCTCCAATAGGCAATCAGATGAGGGAAAGTAGACTTAGGTGGGTTGGCTATGTATAGTATCAACCTAAATCAAACACCAGTCAAGTGGGGTGATTTGGTTCAAGTGGAAGGCTTTGAAAAATGCAAGGGAAGGCTCAAAGGGACATGGATAGAGGTAGTGAGAAGAGGAATGTTGATTGAGGGTATGGCCCTTGATAATACTGAACGGTGGAAGAGGGTTCGTGTAGTCGACCTCAAAGAGTTAGAATAAGGCTCAAATGATTATGATGATGATACCATTGGCTATCATACTTGAGTTTTTATGTATGCCTAGGTACTAGTGTCAAAATGGTACAATATTGATACTGATCCTAAATAATCCCTTGTATTAGTTCTATAAGTGTTAGACAATATAAGGCTCAAATGATGATGATGACGATACCACTTTTTATCATACCCGAGTTTTTGTCTATGCCAAGGTACTAGTGTCAAAATGGTACAATACTGATAATTATCCCAAATAATCCTTGTATTAATTCTATATATGTTAGACATATAAATATAAAAAATGTTCCATAATGCAATGGGATAGATCGAAAAGCTCTCCAAAGGGGGTTAAAAGTTAACGATGGATGAGAGAGAGAGAGAGAGAGAGAGTTGAGTCTGCTTGGAGTGGCGAGCCCCTACCCACCACCACTGTCCACCGCCTCACCTCAGGAAGTATCGCCCGGCCAGGCGCCACGACCACCACCCCACGCCTCCATCTCTCCTCCATCCTTGCGCCCACCTCAACAACTGTAGTAGATACCAACCACCTCCTACCAACCCCTCCCCTCCTCTCTCCCTTGCTCTTACCCATCCCCCTGACCAGGCCCTCTCTCGCCACTTTGGCTCGAAACCTACCTGGTCTCACATCCTTCAAGCCCCTTTGCCTAACTCCCCTGCACTTCCGGTGGAGCCCCCAGCTTGGACCCCTCCCTCTGCACTTCCGGTGGAGCCCCCAGCTTGGACCCTTCCCTCTACCCCTTCTCCTCCCTGACTGCACCATTCTCTATCCTTGTCGAAGGGAAATAGTTGAACTTCCTGGAGAAAGCTTTGAGGTTCTCCTTGATTGGCAGATTTTATCTGCCGCGAAATGACTCCAAAGGCGTTCAAAGGTGGGCGGCAGATACATGGGACATCTCCACCCTCTCTTGCCAGAAACTTTCATCGGGAGATTTTCTTTTCTCATTTGTTTCCGAGGCTGATTTGCTCACCATCCAGGATTACATCCCTTCGCTTCAAAGGGGCGTTGCTCTCCTTTGTGCATTGGGATAGGGCCATGGGCTCGTCTATCCCACAAAAGATTTGGCTAACTGCTTCTTTTATTCCTCTACACGCCTGGAATGTAGACACACCTTCCAACTCATAGGGGAAGGTTGCAGCCGTTTCATCTCAGTTAACTGGTAATCTGCTGGATACCTACCCTTGGGAACCATTCAGTTGCTGGTTGAATCCCTCATCCCTAGCCAAATCCCAAAAGCTCTTTGGGTGGAGGTGGATGGCCTCTTCTTCAGAATCCCTCTCTCTTGATCGCAGGCCTCCCCTCCATTGCCCTGCCATGTCCACGACCATGGTTTCCCTGTCTCTGGACCACGGAGGAAGGAGCACACAGTGGTCCCCCCCTTGGAGTGGACAATAGGTACCGTCAAATCCCATCCTAAACCAGTTCATCGCCATTGGAATCCTATCCCTCGTTATCCTGATGGTTCTCATTGCAGCGGGGATGCCCTTCAAACGCCTCGATCGACCCTCCAGCTATGGTCCAGGTTGCCCAACCCCAGCTTGCCTCTGAGGTCCCTACCGGCAGCCTTTTGAAGACGTGCGTCAACCCCACCGGGGCTAATCAGCGTCTTGGCGTTGCTCAGCCTTCGGATCCGTTTGAAAAGCTACCAACTAAGTCCTTACCTGCCAGCCCATCCTGTGGCAACCTCGGGACCTTGACACCTTCACCTTGTTCTGCGGCACTTTCTCCCTTGGCCTTACCTTTATCTTGCCAACAGCTGTCGACCCTCTATGAGGATACATCAGCCAGCAGGCCCACGTACCCCATCTCTTTATCA